AGCGGGTAAAGTCGCCGCCTGCAGTGCTGGCATCCCATATGGGCGCCAGTTCAAGTCCCGGCTGCTCCTCTTCCAATCTAGTTCTCTGCTGTGGTCTGGGAGGGCAGCAGAAGATGGCCCAAGTCCTTGGGCCCCTGGGCTCACGTGGGAGACCCGGAAGATGACCTTGGCTCCTGGCCTCGGACCAGTGCAGCTCCAGCCGTTGCAGCCAACTGGGTAGTGAACCAGCAGATGGAAGACCCTTCTCTCTCTCTCTCTCGCTCTCTCGCTCTCTTGCTCTCTCTCTCTGCCTCTCCTTCTCTCTCTGTGTAACTCTGTCAAGTAAATAAACAAATAAATCTTTTAAAAAAAATAGGAATGGGGGATAATGGAAAGGTACTGAGAATTGCTGGGAAAATTCCCAATGTAAAGGGAAGGGAGGAGGAAAGAACAGATGCAGAGACAAAGGGAGGTAAGCAGAGAAAAATAAGCGTCAGCACTGTTAGGCTGGAAGGAGAGGCTGAGAGAGTTTAGAGGAGGAGAGAGACAGAGAAGCAGGCCACGCTGTGACCCAGAGGTTTTCTTAAAAAGATTTACTTTATTTATTTGAAAGGCAGAGTTACAGGAAGGGAGGGAGGGAGAAAGTGAGGGATGCAGAGAGCGAGCAAGAGGGGGAGAGAGAGAGAGCGAGACAGAGAAAGAAAGAGATCTTCCATCTGCTGGTTCACTCCCCAAATGGTTGCAACAGTGCAACAGCCAGGGCTGGGTTAAGCCAAAGCTAGAGCAAGGAACTTTGTCTGGGTCTCTGACATAAGTGGCCAGGCCCCAAGCACTCGGGTCATCATCCATTGCTTTCCCAGGTGCATCAGCAGGCAGGTGGGGTGGAAGCGGAGCAGCCGGGTCTCAAGTCAGTGCTCAGAGAAGCTCCCATGCAACTTCCTAAGATGCTCTAGTAAGAATTGTGGTCACTTTTTAAATTATTTCTATGTGGCATTCATTCATTTATTCTACAAATATTTGCTGATACAGGCAGTTTCTTTGGATAGTGTTGAAGCTGGTAGCCTTTGCAGAAACAAGCCTAAATGTGGAAGCCAGAAAGCCCAGCTAAAGTACAAATGGCAGCAGCAACAACTATAACAACAGCAAAAACCAGTAACGCTCCATACTTTATTCTTTAAGAATATCCTTATATATAAGGTACCCTGATCCACTATTGGTGGGGATGTAAACTGGTGCAGCCACTGTGGGACACATTATGGAAATACCTCGGAAATCAGAATACAGACCTATCATATGACCCAGCCATCCCACTCCTGAGAATTTACCCACACCAAAAAAAATCACCATATTAAAAAGTTATCTGTACCCACATGTTCACTACAGCTCAGTTCATAATAGCTAAGACATGGAATCAACCCAGATGTCCATCAACTGAAGACTGGATGAAGAAGTTATGGTATATACTACGGAATACTATCCAGTTGTTTTAAAAAAAAATGAAATCCTGTCTTTGGCAACAAAATGGACATAACTGATAACCATTATACTTAGTGAAATAAGATAGTCCCAAAAATACAGATACCTTATGTTTTCCATGATCCAAGGTAACCAATAGAGAACGTAAAATGTAATGTATTGGAATGAAATGGACATTTTGAGATTCAATGATTGTTTATAGCCCTTGTCTCTTCTGTTGAGGAACACTGTTTTTTCTTCATACTATTTGTACTATTTGTTCAACTCTTTTACTTAGTGTAGGGTTAACTTTACTATCATTAAGTTCACTGGAAGTAGATCTTTGTAAAAATTAAGAGTGGGAATGGGAAAGGGAGGAAGGAGGAGGGTGGGAGCATGGAGGGGGGTAGGTGAGGGTGAGAAGTATCACTATGTTCCTAAATCTGTATATAACTTCAATAACATTTTTTTAAAAAGAATATCCTTATATAGAAAATGTGGTGGAACTTGCATTGTGGCCTAGTGGGTTAAGCCACCATCCCGGATGGCAGTATTCCATAAGGGTGCCAGTTTGAGTCCCGGCTGCTGCACTTCCAATCCTAGCTCCCTGCTAATGGACTTAGAGGGCAGCAGAAGACAGCCCAAGTGCTTGGGCTCTAGCACCTATGTGGGAGACCAAGAAGCAGCTCCTGACTCTGGGCTTTGGCTTGGCCCAGCCCTGGCTGTTGCAACCATTTGAGGAGTGAACTAGCGGATGGAAGAGCTCTGTCTGTCTCTCCTTCTCTCTCTCTGTAAACTTTGCTTTTCAAATAAATAAATAAATAAAATTGTTCCCAAATAAATAAATTAAAGAAAATGTGGTACATCCCTTATAGCAGACAGTATGGATATTTCTCAGAAAGGTAAAAATAGAACTACCCCCATGATCCTGTAATCCCACTTTCAGGCATATATTCAAAGGAAATGAAATAAGTTTGTCAAAGATACAACTGCACTACCATATTCATTCCAGCGTTAACAGCCAAGATATGGAATCACCTGCAGTGTCCATCAGTAAATGAATGGATAAGAAAATGTGGTATGTAAGTATGAAGACAATGGTATGCTACTTAGCCTTAAAAAGTAGGGGACCCTGCCATTTTTACAACAGGAATGAATCCGCAGGACATTGTGCTAAAAGAAGTAAGCCAAGCACAGAAAGACCAATACTACCTTATCTCACTGCACATGGAACTAAACTTGGAGAATTCATAGTAGCTGAGGACTGAATGTGGTTGCTGGAGTTAGGGATGGAACTGATAGGAGACGCTGGTCAAAGGGCACAAAGTATGAATTAGGATGAATAAGTTCTGAAAAGCCACTATATAGCATGGTGACTACAATAAGAATGTGTCCTTGAAAACTGCTTAGGGGCTGGCGCTGTGGCACAGCGGGTTAAAGCCCTCGCCTGCAGTACTGGCATCCCATATGGGTCCTGGTTCAAGTCCCAGCTGCTCCACTTCCGGTCCAGCTCTCTGCTATGGCCTGGGAAAGCAGTAGAAGATGGCCCAAGTCCTTGGGCCCCTGCACCTATGTAGGAGACCCAGAAGAAGCTCCTGGCTTTGGATGGGCAGGAGCTCCGGCCATTGTGGCCATCTGGGGAGTAAACCAGTGGATAGAAGACCTTTCTCTCTGTCTCTACCTCTCTCTGTAACTCTGTCATTCAAATAAAATAAAAATAAATCTTAAAAAAAAAAAAAGAAAGAAAACTGCTTAGAGAGTAGATCTTAAAAAGTTCTCACTACAAAAATCCTAAGTGTGTGAGGCAGTGGGATATTACTCAGCTTGACTGAGTCATCTCACTGTTTACATGTATCTAAACATCACCTCACACACTGTAAATACTTGTAGATAGGCGTATACTCTCAGTTGCAGCCTACCAGTAGAAGAACTTCTGGAATTCAGCCATTCAGACTGGAGATCTCCAACTGTTCACTGGACACCCTTTCCCCACAGCTAGTCAGGAAGCTGTTTCATCCTCTGCTAAAGGTTAAAAAACAGCATTCCTCATCCTTGTGATTAAGGGCAACCAAATTCCAGGCACTGTCTGAGAAAGGTCTTCAGTCTAAATGCATGGGTATCAAAACTGCCAAGAACAATAACCCAAAGCTACTTCCATTACGAATTTGGTCTTTGCTTTAGACAAAAAAATGCCAGGATACTTTCCCAGATAATGACCCACATGATTAACAATGGCATTTGTCTTACAGCTGATGCCAGGCAGGGACGCATGGGGCTGACCACAGCCAACAGAGCAAGAGAACTTTTCTAAAAACAGAATACAGGACAGCTCATTCTTCAACATCTTCCAGGGAAAACTGGATGATGAGTGTGTTGATGTCTTTTCAAAACAATCTGCTACATGCTCTTAGATCTTGGGCCCTGATTGCTGGCTGACCTATATATTTTTTGGCAATGCTAGTGCCCTAGAGGGGCTGATGATTTGACAGGCAGTGAAGGTCCTCAGTGAAGATGAATTTTGAAAAAGCCGAGATAAGCAGACTAATTTCCGACAAAAGTATTTTCTTCTGATCTTCGAAATGTTAAAGAAGCCACATCAGGGGATTATTTTGAGTAAGGAAAAATGTGCCTTATAAAGACTGCCAGTGTCAACAACTAATCCCCCAGCCAGTCACAGAAGCCAGAGGAGGCAGGCTTTCCAGACAGAGCCAGGGACCCCACCCACCCAGCTCAGCGCAACAGCAAAGTTAATTAGCTTCCCAGCACAAATTACGGTTTGTTATGCACTATACTAATGTATCTTTTAAAGTCTTTCTTTTTTGCAGCCTCATTTTGTACCCCCAAATCTCTAATCTCTTGAAAGTATTATAATATCACATACTAGAAACTTCATACTTTATCATAATCAAATATTTCAAACATGATTACCAGCAACAAACCAAAGAAAAGGGAAGATAACCTCTTGGATATTCTTTATTTCTGAAAGATTCAATTTGTCTACTGACTTCTTTACAAATATGCAATTATAATGTTAGAAAACTAAAAGGAGCATTAGGCATTGTTTTAAAATCAAGGAAACTAAAATCCAGAGACTGAAGGAATGCCAGACCTAGTACAAAGACAGGTGTCTCCTTTGAACGTCTCTACAAATCTTCTTGAGCTAACATCATCTATTCATACCCTGGAATGATGCTGAGTCATCCTTAGGTGGTATGAACATGCAAATCAAGGGAAATAGACATTTGCAAAATAAATACTATCAGCCAACTGTCTCTTTATAATTTATTGCCTTTAGTTCTCATGAAAACTTTGCAGTGTCCATTTTATTGGCACCAATGTAAAGGTAAGGAAACTGAGCCCAATAACGATCCCAAGATGAGTAGCAGGCAAAGCTGGGACCCAGAGCCAAGGCTCACCTAAGTAGAGAGTTCAGGGCTCCCTGGAAGGCTCTGCCTGCAACATCCCTGCTATTGGATAAGAAGTCACTTTTTCTAATTTTCCGGCTATGAAACAATTAAGCAGAGGATTCCTAGTCAAAGGGTAGAAGCTGGGCCGTGATCACGTACCTGTGGTGGAGTCGATGGTGAAGAGGGATGACAGCTCTCCTGGAATGAGTTCGTAAGCCACCCTTCCATAACTCCCAGAATCCCTGTCGGTAGCGAGAACGTTGATGACCTCCGTGCCTGGCTGAGCGTGACTGCTGATGCTTGTCACGTACGTTGATGGGTTAAACACAGGATGGTTGTCATTCACATCTTCCAGTTCCACACGGACAAAAGCCTGGGCACTTAGCCCACCCTGTAGGATGGATGAACAGTGATTACACTTGGGTCTCTGCTGAACACTGGAACATAGAACACGCGACAGGAATCCAGGGATAGTACTGGAAACAATGAGACATGCATGTGTGTGTATGTATGTACACACATACATAAATTCTTGGAGAGAGGAGTTCATACATGAAAACCAGTATCTAGTACGTCAATGCTGATGATTAATCATGAATGAGGTTGCCGCTTCAAAGTTCTTATGGCAAAGTGTTCAGAGTAAAGGCCAAAGATATTCAAGGGAAATTGTCCCAACAGCCAAAGGGAAATGACAATCTCTTTAGCCCTAAGTATGCTAATTTTAAAGTGAATGTTGGTAAGTGCTAAGGGCAGTGGGTGATGACCCAGTAAAAGCCTTGCTAAGAAGATACCATTTAACCATGGGTCAACCTACGTGAGGGAGGCTAGACTTCAAAACATCCAGCAGGAACGAATAACAGGTAGCAGACAGAGAAGGTACAAAGGCCCTGAGGCAGGAGTGCAGTGCGCTTCCTGGCCTGCTCAGGGACAACAAGGAAGCCAGGAGGGCTGACGTCCAAGAGGCAGGAACAGGACAGGGCAGTTCTGTGGGCCTCTGAGAGGACCACAGCTGTCCTCCCTGGCAAGGTTTGAGTACAGGAGCACCTTGATTTGACGTCTTCTTAGCTACTGCTCTAGCTGCAGTATTAGAACAGACTGAAAGGCAACAAGGGTGGGAGGAGGGAGACCATTCGGAAGCTCTGGGAATCAAGTCCAGAACTGATGGAGGCCCAAGTGAGGAAAGAAATGGTGAGGGTACTTATCTTACATATTTGGGGCCAGATTTGGTTTGGAATTCTGCATTTTTTTTAAGTTTTAGAAAGCTCAGAGGTTCTCCACAAAGTTCCTGGAAAATGTGCATTATCTTTTAATTGGTTTTCTGCATACATTTTTAAAGATTTATTTATGTGAAAGGTAGAGTTACAGAGACAGAGAGGGAGAGAGAGAGAGGTCTTCCATCCACTGGTTCACACCCCAGGTAACCGCAACGGCTGGGGCCGAGCCAGGCTGAACCCAGGAGCCAGGAGCTTCTTCCTGGTCATTCTCTACTGCTTTCCCAGGTGCATCAGTAGGAAGCCGGATCTGAAGTGGAGCAGCCGGGACTTGAACCATCACCCATATAGGAAGCTGGCAATGCAGATGGCAGCTTAATCCACTACGCCACAACACCAACCCCTTTGCATACTTTCTGAAGTACTCTTGAATAACGTACAAAGTAGTGAGAAGTGGATCCTACTCTGTTAGTTGCCTGCATCTGAGCACAAGAAGAAGAACGAACAAAACAGAAGAAAACAATACTCTGCAATTTTAATCTTTCTAAAGTAGAACATGTGTTCCTACTTTAAAGCACCATTTTTCATTTCTCTGGTGCATTTTGACACTTTCAGCTTTGACAAAAATCCTTGGTCCGTCACGACAGCCTGGGTTTTCTCTTATCCTCCTGTCCTTCCTACTCTCCTGTGGCAGGCAGACGATGTGGCGAGAGAGGAAGCAGACACTGCCCCGTGCAGACACTAGGGAAGCACATGTTGTGCGAGGGAGAGTGGGAATGAGAGTATCATTTGGAATGAAGTTAACAACGAATCCAGAAATGGTTCTCACATTCCAAGACCCATGTGCCCCACTCTTTGGGGACTAAAAAAAAAAAAAAAGAATTGGGATTCCTATCTTTAGAGATATGAGAATGCTTCAGAAAGTTTGTGGGAAAGGAGAATTAGAAGATAAGTTGATTTGGATGCCAAAATGGTGTTTGCAGTCCATGCATATGCGAGGTCTTCAAAAGGCTCACGGAAAATGGGACAGGAGGCATCAGTAGAAGAATAGATCAAACAGAAGAAAGATGTGTGGGCTTGGAGACAGGCTATCTGAAACTATGCAGCTAAGGGGTGCAGAATGAAGAAAGAAAGAATGAAGAGCAGTGGAGAAGCTGATAGGAACTTTCAGGTAGCATTAAAAGAGCAGACATCTGAATTCTTATTGGGGTTAAGAGAGAATTGAGAATGGCAAAGAGTGGAAAGCATATTCACAGAGATAGTAAGAGAAATTTTCTGAAATCTAAAGAAAGGTACGAGTATCAAGGCACAGGAAAGTAGAAGGACACCAGATAGGTTCACCTCAATCAAGTTCATCTCAAGATAATAATCAAGCTCTCCAGGGTTCAAGATAAAGAGAGGATTATTAAGGAAGAAAGAGAAAAGAAACATGTAGCAAGTAAGGGTAACCCAATCCAACCTACTGCCAGCTTCTCAGCAGACACCACAGAGGCTAGACAAGAGTTGAATGAGACATTCTCAGTACTCACAGAATGAAATGCCAATCAGCTTTGCACCTGCAGAGCCATCCTCTAGATACAGAGGAGAGATAAAGACATTCCCAGACATACAAAAGCTGAGAGAATTTATCACCATCAGACCTGTTCCCCGCCCCACACACAAATGCTAAAAGGAATTCTTCAAACTGAAAGACAGTTTGTCAAAATTAGCAAATGAGTAAGAAGAGATGGCCAGAAGCTGCAACACTCACTGGAAGGACTAACTAGACAGACAAGTTCAGAAGGCTGTAATATTGTAAACATGGTGAGTAAGTCATTTAGGTCTTTAGTATGAAGATTGAAATTAAAATAATTTTAAAAATAACTATACTGGCTGGCGCCATGGCTCACTAGGCTAATCCTCCACCTTGTGGCGCCGGCACACGGGGTTCTAGTCCCGGTTGGGGCACCGGAATCTGTCCTGGTTGCCCCTCTTCCAGGCCAGCTCTCTGCTGTGGCCAGGGAGTGCAGTGGAGGATGGCCCAGGTGCTTGGGCCCTGCACCCCATGGGAGACCAGGAGAAGCACCTGGCTCCTGGCTCCTGCCATCGGATCAGCGCGGTGCGCCGGCCGCATCGCGCCGGCCGCGGCGGCCATTGGAGGGTGAACCAACGGCAAAGGAAGACCTTTCTCTCTGTCTCTCTCTCTTACTGTCCACTCTGCCTGTCAAAAAAAAAAAATAAGAAAAAAAATAACTATACTAATATGTTAAGAGATAGGCAATGTGGAAAGGTTTGAAATGGAATATCAACTATTCAAGATGTGGGGGCAGGTATTTGCACATTGAGTAATATGCCACTTGACACATGTGCCTTCCATGTCAGCATGTCTGGGCTCCACTCCTGAGTCCAATTTCCTGCTAATGCACAGTCTAGGACGAGGCAGGCAGTGACTTCTGTCACTGATACCCACACAGGTACCTAGGTTGAGTTCCTGGCTCCTGGCTTTATCCTGCCCAACGCAGGCTGTTGTGGGCATTTGGGGAGTGAACCAGGGGATGGGAAATCCCTCTCTCCCTTTCAAATTAAATGAATATTTTAAAAACTCAAAATGTAGAGAGGAATGCAGTGCAAGTACAGAGTTTTTAAGCAGAATTTTAAAATGCCTTTCTTTGTTCATGTCTTTCCCTGTCTTTATGATCAGTATTAAGCTGCTACGATTTCAAAATAGCTTGTTATAACCCAAAGGTGACTTTATAAGCCTCATGGCAAATACAAAGCAAAAACTTACAGAAGACTCACCAGAAATAAACAAAGGACTCAAAATACACTGTTAGAGAAATCACTAAATACAAAGGAGGAAATAAGAAGGAGGGGGGCAGGCACTGTGGCACAGTAGGTTAGGCTGCCGCCACCTGTGATACCAGCATCCCATATGAGTACCTGTTTGAGTCCTGACTGCTCTATTTCTGATCTAGCTCTCTGCTGACGTGCCTGGGAAGGCCCTGGAAGGTGACACAAGAACTTGGGCCCCTGACACTCAAGTGAGAGACCTGGATGGAGTTCCAGGATCCTGGCTTAGTACTGGCCCAGCCCTGGCCATTGTGGCCATTTGGGGAGGAAATCAGCAGATAGAAAATCAATCTTTATCTCTCTCTCTCTCTCTCAATGAATGTATGTGTGAGTATATGTTTGTGTGTCTCCCTCTCTGTAATTCTTCCTTTCAAATAAATAAAAATAAATTAAAAAGAGGAGAAAGAAAAGAATTAAAATAAAACTAGAAAACAAGTATCAAAATGGCAGTACTAAGACCTTACCTATCGGCTGGCGCCGCGGCTCACTAGGCTAATCCTCCGCCTAGCGGCGCCGGCACACCGGGTTCTAGTCCCGGTCGGGGCGCCGGATTCTGTCCCGGTTGCCCCTCTTCCAGGCCAGCCCTCTGCTGTGGCCAGGGAGTGCAGTGGAGGATGGCCCAGGTGCTTGGGCCCTGCACCCCATGGGAGACCAGGAAAAGCACCTGGCTCCTGGCTCCTGCCATCGGATCAGCGCGGTGCGCCGGCCGCAGCGCGCCGGCCGCGGCGGCCATTGGAGGGTGAACCAACGGCAAAAGGAAGACCTTTCTCTCTGTCTCTCTCTCTCTCACTGTCCACTCTGCCTGTCAAAAACAAAAAAAAAAAAAAAAAAAAAAAAAGACCTTACCTATCAATAATTACCTTAAATATAAATAAATTTCTCAAAGACATAGGGGTGACTAAATGGACGAGTAAGAGCTGACTACAAGCTGCTCACAAGAAATTCACTTTATCTCTAAAGACATGCACAGACTGAAGGTGAAGCAGTGCATGGGTTGGTGTTGTGGTGTAGCGGGTGAAGCTGCTACCCGCAACGCCAGGATCCTGTATGGACGCCAGTTCATGTCCAGGCTGCTCCACTTCTGATCCCACTTCTTGTCAATGGCTTGGAAAAAGTAGCGGAAGATGACCCAAGTGTTCGGGCTGTGCCACCCACATGGGAGACCCAGAGGAATCTCCTGTCTCCTGGCTTTTTCCAGGCCCAGTCACAGCCATTGAGGCCAACTGGGGAGTGAACCAACATATGAAAGATCTCTCTCTGTCTCCCCCACCCTATAATGCTGACTTTTAAAATAAATAAATAAATCTTTGAAAAATTATATCCCATGCAAGTGGAATATAAAAGAAAGCAG